ACTGACACACACACACTGACACACACTCAACACACACTCAACACACACTGAACACACACTGACACACAAACACACAACACACACTGAACACACACAACACACACTCAACACACACAACACACACTCAACACACACACTCAACACACACTGAACACACACTCAACACACACTCAAACACACACACACACACTGAACACACACTGAACACACACTACACACTCAACACACACTCAACACACACTGAACACACACTCACACACACACTGAAACACACACTGAACACACACTCAACACACACTCAACACACACCCTGAACACACACTGAACACACACTGAACACACACTGAACACACACTCAACACACACTCAACACACACTCAACACACACTGACACACACTCAACACACACTGAACACACACTCAACACACACTCAACACACACACTGACACACACACTGAACACACACTCAACACACACACTCACACACACACTCAAACACACACTCAACACACACTGAACACACACTCACACACACACACTGACACACACTCACACACACACTCACACACACTGAACACACACTCAACACACACTGAACACACACTCACACACTCAACACACACTGAACACACACTCAACACACACTCAACACACACTGAACACACACTGAACACACACTCAACACACACTCAACACACACTGAACACACACTCAACACACACTGAACACACACTGAACACACACTCAACACACACTGAACACACACTGAACACACACTGAACACACACTCAACACACACTACACACACACACTGAACACACACTCAACACACACTCAACACACACTGACACACACACTGAACACACACACACACACACTGAACACACACTCAACACACACTCAACACACACTCAACACACACAACACACACTGAACACACACTGAACACACACTGAACACACACACTCAACACACACACAACACACACACTGAACACACACTCAACACACACTGAACACACACACTCAAACACACACCGAACACACACACTGAACACACACTCACACAACACACACTGAACACACACTCAACACACACTCAACACACACCTGAACACACACTCAAACACACACACCACACACACACACACACACTGAACACACACTCAACACACACTGAACACACACTCAACACACACTCACACACACACACTCAACACACACTCAACACACACTCAACACACACTCAACACACACTGAACACACACACACACGAACACACACACACACACTCAACACACACTGAACACACACTGAACACACACTGAACACACACTACACACACAACACACTCAACACACACTCAACACACACTCACACACACACACTCAACACACACTCACACACACAACACACACTCAACACACACTGAACACACACTCAACACACACTCACACACACACACACTGAACACACACTCAACACACACTACACACAACACACACTGAACACACACTCAACACACACTGAACACACACTCAACACACACAACACACACTGAACACACACTCAACACACACTGAACACACACTGAACACACACTCAACACACACCGAACACACACTCAACACACACTCAACACACACAGAACACACACTCAACACACACCGAACACACACTCAACACACACTGAACACACACACACACACACACACACTCACACACTCAACACACACTCAACACACACTGAACACACACTCAACACACACTCAACACACACTCAACACACACTGAACACACACTCAACACACACTCAACACACACTCGAACACACACCGAACACACACTCAACACACACACTGACACACACACACTCAACACACACTCAACACACACTGAACACACACTCAACACACACTCAACACACACTGAACACACACACACACACTCAACACACACTACACACACACACACACTGAACACACACTCAACACACACTCAACACACAAACACACACTCAACACACACTGACACACACTCAACACACACTGTACACACACACACACACACTGTACACACACTGTACACACACCTCTCTCTGTACTTTATACTGTGTGCGTTTGTGCTTGTGCGTTTGTGCGTTTGTGCGTTTGTGCGTTTGTACTTTGTGCGTTTGTGCTCGTGTCCCGGGCGTCTCGGCCGCTCTCCGCTCGTTAACTTCTCTCATTGTTATACAGCTTCAATTACATTAGTCTGACTGGAGCTGTAAAGGAGGAGCCGTGTAAAATCCTCCTCTGCTCGTTTCAAGTTTCGCATGGGCACGTTTAAAGCTTCTATATGATCTTAACTGACTTTTTACAGCGTTTGGACGTCGTACAATATTGTTTCTAGTTCAGAAACAGAAACACACCTGGACTTTTGAGTTTCACTGCTCCGTCTTCTACGACCTCGTACTTATCTGTCTATTGTATTTGGACTTGTACATTTACATTTATATAATTATGTTTTATTTCCCTCCTGTTTCTTGCTCTTTTTTGCTTCTTATTTAGAATTTATTATTACCATTTATATTTTTTCTCTGTGTTTTTCTGTTTTATTGTGATGTGTGACTCCTGAGTCCAAATCATTTCCCTGTGGATCAATAAAGTTTAAGTCTAAATCTAACATAACATACGAGCTGCACACACATGTACTTTTAAAAGATTCAATTTACACCAGATGCCAGCCTCTGTGTATTCTCACATTTAAACTCTAAACCACAGGTGTCAAACATGCGGCCTGGGGGCCAGATCCGGTCCTCCAAGACCTTTAATGTGGCCCTCGGCTGATTTTCTACTTAAATATTTTAATGATATTTTCTATTAAAATCGTGTTAATTTTGTGTGGTGTTTATCACAGCAGCGTCTCCAGCGTCTCTGTACGTGGCCCCTCCCACCAGAGCAGCACAAATGAAGACTTGTCTCTTTCCAAACGCTCTTAAAGGACGATCGTTTTGACTGTTGACCGTGACACCCTCATCAGAAAAATGTCCAACATGAGAAAAGTGGAGCCGAGTGCAGGATTTTACAACAAAAATGGACTTATTCCTGTTTACAGACAAGTTCATGTTCAAACTTTGTGTTGAAATTGTATTTTTCTTAAAGTTTCAGGTTGTTCATAATATTATAATATTTTGTAAAAGAAAGAGTTCATCAGTTAAAAAAGATTTGTGTAATAGATTTGTGTTTCTCTGCACAAATATTTGAACTTATTGTTATTTTTGGGGTTTATATGACATGAGTTTTCTGATCTGGACACTTTGGGATCAAAGTCGGTTGGACACGACGCCCGGAACAAAATGAGTTTGACACTCCTGCTCTAAACTCTGTGTATTCTCACGTTTAAACTCTAAACTCTGTTTTAACTCTAAACTCTGTGTTACTCTAAACTCTGTGTTAAACTCTAAACTCGTTTACTTTTTAACTCTAAACTCTGTGTATTCTCACGTTTAAACTCTAAACTCTGTGTATTCTCACGTTTTAACTCTAAACAGGTAAAAGTGTTTTATATTTCTCCTCGGCGGCTCTAAACTTTCCGTGTCCATCTGGAGTCGTTCCTCGAGCTCCTGACGTGACGCTCGGTGTTTACGTCGCTGTAGAGACGATGAACAGATTTTGACACACGTGTTTATTTCCTGTTGATAAAAGTCTGGAGACGCTCTGACGCTGAACAATTAAAACTCCAACCTGTTCTGAGCGGCGCCGTGACACTGATGGTACAGACGGTCCGACCGGTTAAAATGTAATGTTACACCTGTGTGTGCTGTTTGTGTGTGTCTCCTTTGTGTTTTTAAAGTCACTTCAACAGACTTCACTGTGGAGTTAAACTCTCAGATTCAAGCAGCTAACTGTTTTTAGCCTAATTCCAGCTGCGTTGCTGTTTGTGTCGTCAAAACCTTTGGCGTTTTGTTTCCCGTTTACAGACGAGATCAGAGACTCAGTCCAACGAGCTTCATCTGGTCTTCTGATCATTTATGTTACATGGTTCTGGTTCTTTTTTTTCAGAGTCAGAGTTTGTTTTCGTCCTGACAGTTTGTTTCTGTCTTTTCTCTGTCTTTCCTCTTCTCTCTTGTGTCTGTGCTGCTCATGTTTCTTTTGTGTTCTGACGAGGGTCTTTTTTTCCTCTCACACTCCTGCATTGTGTCCTGAGGAAGTGCGTCTGCAGGTGGCGCTGTCGTCCTGACTCCACCGAGACCAAGACACAGACAAAACCTGTTTACATCAACTGAACGACACGACACAGAAACATCACCAGACGAAGAGGAAGAGGAGCAGAAGCAGAACAAACTGTCAGGACAAAAACAAACTCTGGGCCTGAAAAAAGAACCTAAGATCAGAGATTACAGACGACTTTTGAGGCGGTAACAACTTTAGAACGTGACTAAAAACGCACAAGAGTCTGTTTTTGCGTAATAAAAGGACCTTTAAAGACTAAATAAAGGAAATAAGTGACAGATATTCTGCAGACTGGTACAGGATGAAGTACAGTTGGTGTTTGCGTCTGGAGTCGGTGCAGATCTGTGCGTGAACATTATTCAGGTGAGACAGAGTGAAAGGCCAGTGCAAAGGCGTCTGGAGCCCGATCGCTGGATAATACGAGACCTTTAAAGACCCGGCTCCGCACACGGGCCAGACACACAGACACTTTTCCATTATATAGAGCCGGAGCGGAGCGGTGCCCGGGCGGAGGCGGGCGGAGGAGGGCGGGGGGCAGGCAGGGGGCAGGCAGGGGGCAAACACTCTGTAACTTTATCTACAAACCACCCCCAGCAACAATCAATGTGAACGTGTGAACGACCGAACGTCTGAGGTCTGCTCCTCCGCTCCGAACCAGGAGAACCGAGTGAAAGGTCACGACAGGAGGAAGGAGGGAGGGAGAAAGAAAGGAAGAAGAAGAGAGGAAGGATGGAGGAAGGAAAGAGGATGGAGGGAGGACGGAGGAAGGATGGAGGAGGTACTCACGGACACACAGGTCTCCGCTCTCGTAGTATCCGGGGCAACACTGTGAGCGGCGGCGGTACATGGTGCGAACGCCGCGACGATACGCCGTCTTATAACTGATCCTGCAACACACAAAGGGACGTCAGGCTCAAGGGCACAAGGGAAACACACACACACAATGGGACGTCAGGCTCAAGGGCACAAGGTACAGAATGAGCAGGACGTACAGGAGGATCAGTAGGACGTATAAAATTAGCAGGAGAGGCAGATGTCAGTGTGTTTTTCATTGTGTGGTCGCCGTGGCAACCTGCAGCTGTGGAACCTTCACACTAAAGTCACTGGAGGCAGATGTGACGTGTGTCAGTGTCGTGTCGTGTGACGTTGGTAAATGTACATTTTAATAAAGTGCGTTTGGGATAAAAATATAAACGATCACACTGACGACGTCACACTGGGAGAATTCTGTCTAAAATTTTGGCACAATTTACACATGAAACAATTTTTCTGACACTTTGTTTTCTTATATTTTTATTTGTCAGATCATATTTTGCACATTCGAGGAGTTTTGGCATCACGGTTGCCATGGTAACGAGGCAGTTATGGAATTCCCTCGTGTGACGTCTTCATTTCCCACCAGGAAATTTTAAACCAAGAAAAATGATCAAAGTGGGATTTATTTATTTATTTATTTATTTATTTTTAGTAAAATCATAGTAAATCTAATGTTTAATGTTTCAGTTCCGTGTCCACAGTCGAACTTGTCACCGACTCTTGAACGTGTTTAAAGTTCAGTTTCATTTTCAGAGTTAAATCCGGGTTTTTCAGGAGATAAATGATTTTGTGAGTCAGAGTAAATCTGCAGGGCCAAACAGAATAATTGACTTTTTTTCATTCTGGTAAAAAAAAAAAAAAAAAAAGCTGATTAAACTGGACGCCTCCAGACTTTGTGATCACAGATTTCACTTTTACAGATGTGATTAATCATGGACGATCAATTAGGTGTTAATTAATGGACCATTGTCAATTATCAGTAATAATATCCAGCTGTGTTTGGGCTGTCGGGCTCAGAGGCTCCAGACAAACGTTTGGACACAAAGGAAACTGTTTCAGGGCTGTTTCTTTATTTGACTCAACACTGAAACATCGACGCTGAAGGAAACAAAAAATAAACTCAACATAACTCCAAATGTTTAGATTTCTACAAACAGTCTGCGCCCTTTACTTTGGTCACTGATTTGACATTTCCTGACCCTGAGCTTCAGCTGTGAAGTGAAAACCATTTCAGGGAGTTTATCCTGAAGCTCAGAGAGAAGAAAAAGAGTTTGAGCTGCACAAAGCAAAGGGTGAAAGTCTGAGGATCTGAATATGAAAATATATGTTCAGATCAGTTATTTCACTTTTTCTCCTTGTTACATAATTCCTTCGTCCAGTCTGAGAAACATCTGAGGTTTTTCTGTATTTATATAAAAAAATAGAAAGTAAAAATATAAGAAGAACTTCTGACTTCAGGTTTGGCAGTGACGTGGATCTGGAAGACGGACTGACTTTAACACAGAGACAGAGGGAGTTAGTGTGTTGTTCTGACCGGTGTTTGGTGCACTTGAACCAGTTGAGGATGTCGGTGCAGCGGGTGTAGTAGATCTGGTCAAAAGGATGAGCGTACGACTCCTGCACCGTCACCGCGTAACTGCAACACACAAGAACAACATCAGCACGACAACAACACGACAACACGACATGAGCACACGGAATCATCAGCTGGAGCACGGAAACCTGAGCGAAGTCTGACGGGACAAATATTTAGAACTTCTGTTGTTTCTTGTCTCCAGTGGCTCTGAGATTCTTGAGTGTCAAAGTTCAGACTCTGCTCTTCGAGTTTGGCTCCAAGTCCAAACTGTGTGATTATTATTTGTGAAATGTGGAGAAAAAACTTCAGATCCAGGATTTTTAAAGCCTCAAAGTTTGGAGATAAAGTGTCGGGGAAGTGGAGTCAGTGAGGAGAATCTGCAGCTTCAGGTTCAGGTTCAGGTTCAGGTTCAGGTTCAGGTTCAGGTTCAGGTTCAGGTTCAGGTTCAGGTTCAGGTTCAGGTTCAGGTTCAGATGGACTCGTGCTCTGTGTGGATGTAACAGACACACGAGACCAAACAAACTCACCTTTTTACTTTAAACTACGACTCAAAAAACTGGAGTCACAGTTCAGACGTTTTGTGAACTGAGGTCATTATTTGTGGAGGAGAAATTCTGTGAAATTCTTTAAATTTAACACTTTACATTTAACACTTTACACACGAAAACAATAAAGTCTCAGCATTATTTTCCCTGTTTTATGAGTTTGTATTTTGTGTTTCTGTGTCAGAGGAACAAACTAAATCCTCCGTGTGTCATTAGGCCGATGAAAACTGAGTCGAGTTCAGTTGGACACAAATATCTTAATGTGAATCAGGCTCAGGATTCGATCTCTGCTCTGTCGAATGTGTTTTCTTCTGCTCGGCCCAAACCACTTTACACCACACGGAAAAGATGAAAACTGACAAACAGCTGCACTGTGTTTGATATTACACTGTCCTGGTTTGTCCTGGTTTGTCCTGGTTTGTCCCGGTTGGGCCTGTGCGTCCCAGTTTGTCCCGGTTTGTCCCGGTTGGGCCTGTGCGTCCCAGTTTGTCCCGGTTTGTCCCGGTTTGTCCCGGTTTGTCCCGGTTGGGCCTGTGCGTGCTGCTGTTGGGGCAGGTGATGTATGCGGCCGGTGTCGGGCTCTGAATACTGCAGCACGTCTGAGGTTTCATTTCACCAACACGAGGGTGGAGCGTCTCCCGAGCGCCTCCCGCTCTGCTCCGCTCCGCCAATAATCCACACCATAAATCTTGGTGCGCTGCTCTCCTCCCCTCGGCGTCCGGGAGCAGAATGATCCGTCGCTCCTCCTCCCTCCGCGTCCGGGACCAGAATGATTCTTGCTTATTTCTCACAGATGACAGAAGCTCCGCAACTGATAATTATTCCGTCTGGCCGGTCGCGGTGATAGATTGGAGAGAGAGCGCTCTGATCAATTTGCCTGCGTATCTCATCTGAGGCCGGGCTCCGCCCCCTCGCCGGCCGCACCGCCGCGGGGCAGTGACGATCGATAACGATCTGAACACACTTTACAAACACAACGCAACTTTGGTTAAAGGGCCCATATTTCCTCATCTGCCTCATCCTGATGTTTCCTGCTCCACACAAACCTCAACTCTGTTTGTTTCATTCACACGTTTAAAACACAAACCTCGAGCTCTCCTCTCAAACTGAAAACACTCTGTTCCACCTCGTGATGTCATACAGGAAGTGCTCCACTGTGTTTTTAAACTCCACACACCTTCACTAGAATCACCTGGATCAATTCAGTCCTGGAATTTCTTCATCAATCTCGACTGAACTAAAGACAAAAGGAGCTGAGAACTTGGAAACTACCACTTCATGACATCACAAGGTGGAGCAGAGCGTTTGGAGATGTAAACAGACTCATAATAAAGATTTACTCAAACATGTGAATGAAACAAACACAAGTCCAGCTCTGAGTGTGAGAAGGAAACATGGAAAATGGATTAAAACTCACAAATTTCAGAACGAGTTTGTGTCTCACTGTCGCCACGTTTACATGAGGCTTTAATTCTGAATAAAAATTATTTAATTCTGAATAAAAATGTATTCCACTTTAAAAAACACTATATAAACCAGGGGTGTCCAAACTTTTTTCATCAAGGGCCACATCTCCAAACCCAGATGAAGCAGAGTTGATCGAGGGCCACAGACTGGAGCTCAGTACAGGGAATAATTAAAATCTGTGCAGGTTTAACACGTTAGAATGAGCCTCAGTCTTTATTTATGCTGAGATCCTTAAAACCAAACACTAATATTTAATATTTGCTTTATCAAGGTAGATTTTCAAAAAACTTGCAGTAAAAAATGCATTTTTAATTGATGTAAGATAATTTGGGCCAATTCACCTGGAAACCTGAGGGCCAAGAAAAATTTGTCTAGGGGCCGCATTTGGTCCACAGGCCGTAGTTTGGACATGTCTGATGTCAACACTTAATTCCAAATAAAAATGTTTATTGTGGTTGAATCTGAACAGTGAAGAGTTTGTTTGTTTTGTTGTGATGTTAAATGTGACTGAGTTTGTTTCCTGGATCCTGTTTGTTGTTTGTTGTTATTAAAATGCTGCTGGTGCTTCAGGCTCCTCGTGTCGTCCTCCTGGTCCTGGTCCTGGTCCTGGTCCTGGTCCTGGTCCTGGTCCTGGTCCTGGTCCTGGTCCAGTCGTGTCTCGGGACTTTGATCCACGTCTCTTTGGATTTGTGAGCGGGATGTGGGATGTGGGCTGAGCTTTTGTTCTTCTTCCTCCTTCTCCTCCTCAGCGACAGACGGAAAGTGTGATGAGACGATTCTCCAGTGATCATCAGAACCACTGTGGGTCCAAAAAGTCTGGACGGTGTTTGTGTCGGTGGAGGAACCACAAACCCAGATGAGAGAAAAGACGGAACTTCAGTTTTAGACCTTATAGAGTCCTGGTTTAGTTCTGGTTTAGTCTTGTTTTAAACCAGTTTTTAGCCCTTAGATATAGTCCTAGTTTAGTCCTGGTTTAGTCCTGGTTTAGTCCTGGTTTAGTCCTGGTTTAGACCTGGTTTAGTCCTGGTTTAGACCTGATTTAGACCTGGTTTAGTCCTGGTTTGACCTGGTTTAGACCTGATTTAGACCTGGTTTAGACCTGGTTTAGACCTGGTTTAGACCTGGTTTAGACCTTGTTTTAGACCTGGTTTAGACCTGTTTAGACCTGGTTTAGACCTGGTTTAGACCTGGTTTAGACCTTGTTTTAGACCTGTTTTAGACCTGGTTTTAGACCTGGTTTAGACCTGGTTTAGACCTGGTTTAGACCTGGTTTAGACCTGGTTTAGACCTGGTTTAGACCTGGTTTAGACTGCATCTGTGCGTAATGACAAACTGAAACGAAACAACAGAAGTAACTGTGGCCTGTGAGAGTGTAGTGTGTGTGTGTGTGTGTGTGTGTGTGTGTGTGTGTGTGTGTGTGTGTGTGTGTGTGTGTGTGTGTGTGTGTGTGTGTGTGTGTGTGTGTGTGTGTGTGTGTGTGTGTCCTTGGCCCCTCACCTCTCCCAGTGGCTGCAGACGTTGGGGTCGTCGGGGTTGAGGCCCCAAACAAAAGCCCCGTGGACCAGAGCAGCGAACAGCAGGAGGCCAGACGCACACATGCTTCACTCTGGAAACACACAAACAAGACAGAGTTCAGAGCAGCGCACACAACACACACACACACTGAGACACACACACACTGACACACACACACTATCACACACACACAACACACACACATCGTACACATCACACACAACGCACACTGTAGAGACACACACACCTGAATGAGAACACAACATTTACACACACACACTTTTAATAAAAGCTACACTTTATTTAGTCTTGATAAAGAGGATGAAATTATAACCAATAAATATGTTTACAAAGAAATATTCAGGCTCAGAATCACTTCATAAATCCACTAACCCTTTAACTGACCCTTTAACTAACCCTTTAACTGACCCTTTAACTGACCCTTTAACTAACCCTTTAACTGACCCTTTAACTGACCCTTTAACTAACCCTTTAACTAACCCTTTAACTGACCCTTTAACTAACCCTTTAACTAACCCTTTAACTGACCCTTTAACTGACCCTTTAACTAACCCTTTAACTGACCCTTTAACTAACCCTTTAACTAACCCTTTAACTGACCCTTTAACTGACCCTTTAACTGACCCTTTAATGACGTAGAGACTGAGCCTGAGTCATGGTCGGTTCATTCTGAGTGAAGTATGTTTTTATTGATACAGAAGTGTTTCACACACGTGTCACAAAGACACTTTACATTAACATGAACATTATTGATTCACTCCAGACCCGCTGATGTAAACTACTGCTGTAGCCACAGCTGCCCTCCACTTTCACACTAGGCCATGTGGGTGAAGTGTCTTGCCTAAGGACACAACAACAGTTTTTGTGACTAGCTCCCGGCAAAGAAGTGAAAGTGTCATTTTCACCATAACGAGAGTCGCTTCATCCATTCATTCATGAATTATTGGATTTCTGTGGCACCATTAAAGTCTCCCAAACCCTTTAACCAACCCATCCACAAACCCTTTAATTAACCCATCCACAAACCCTTTAACCAACCCATCCACAAACCCTTTAACCAACCCATCCACAAACCCTTTAACCAACCCATCCACAAACCCTTTAACCAACCCATCCACAAACCCTTTAACCAACCCATCCACAAACCCTTTAACCAACCCATCCACAAACCCTTTAACCAACCCATCCACAAACCCTTTAACCAACCCATCCACAAACCCTTTAACCAACCCATCCACAAACCCTTTAACTAACCCATCCACAAACCCTTTAACCAACCCATCCACAAACCCTTTAACCAACCCATCCACAAACCCTTTACATTTCTCCAGTTCACATCACCACCAATGCCACACCACATTCATACTGGACAATGCAGGTGAAGTGTCTTGCCCAAGGACACAAAGGCAGTTTTTGGCACTGACGCCTCCTGTGGCTCCTGGTCCCAGAGTCTCCATCTGAGTCCAGACCCAGACCCAGTCCAGACCCAGACCAGACCCAGACCAGACCAGACAGACCAGACCCAGACCCCAGACCCAGACCCAGACCCAGACCAGACCCAGACCCAGACCCAGACCCAGACCCAGACCCAGACCCAGTCCAGACCCAGACCCAGACCAGTACCAGACCCAGACCAGACCCAGACCAGACCCCAGACCCCAGACCCAGACCCAGACCCAGACCAGACCCCCAGACCAGACCCAGACCCAGACCCAGACCCAGACCAGACCCAGATCCAGACCCAGACCCAGACCAGACCCAGACCCAGACCCAGACCCCAGACCAGACCCCAGACCAGACCCAGACCCAGACCCAGATCCAGACCAGTCCAGACCCAGACCCAGACCCAGACCCAGACCCAGACCCAGATCCAGACCCAGACCCAGACCCAGACCAGACCCAGACCAACGTCCTGATTATTCTGATTATTGTCTCTGAGTAACGTCTCAGTCTCCAGGTCCGACCCACAACTCAAGAACAAATATTGTTTTGGTTTCTGTTTAGTGTCACAGATAAACGTGGCGTCCGTCCGTTTCAAAGTGGATCTGAGACGTTCCTCCAGACACAGACTGTTGGCGGTTTCTCCTTGAGGAGAACCTTGAGGAGGAGATCACAGCGAGGGGCTCCTCTGACAGGCCTGATTTGTTTAGAGCAGATTTCATTAGACGTATGGAGGCACAGAAGAGGCCGACGCTTGATCCACTGCGTGACATTGATTGATTCAGTGTCGTCGTGGCTCCGGCCTCACGAGCTCCACCGGATAAACAACGCGCACGACGAACGCACACGACATGAACATCTGACACAAACACTTCCCAAAGATTTATGGTGTCAAAGCATTAACTGCATTTCTCTTTCACTTCCACAAACGGAGACGTGTTTGTCTCGTTTTGACGCGTCGCGATTCTGACTGTGAAAAGTGTCAAATAAAAAGAACGACAAACTCTGACTCTAATTCGATCACAGTGAAGAGCTCGAGAAGAGGCAGAGAACTTAAAGATGCACAACAGAACTCGTCTGGTGGAGGGTTCACTACCTGCTCGTAGTGGGTCGTAGAGGCTGAACGAGGCTGAACGAGGCTGAACGAGGCTGAACGAGGCTGAACGAGGCTGAACGAGGTCATAGAGGCGACGCTCGATCCATCTGAGTGACTCTGTCCAATAACACTGAACTCTGCATCTTCATGTCAGGATAATCCACCTCATTGACCGACTCACGGGAAAGAAAATCAAAGACTCCTGACTCCCTGTGAGAGCGGCACATGTGAGGGAGGTCTATGTGAAGGAGGTCTATGTGAAGGAGGTCTATGTGAAGGAGGTCTATGTGAAGGAGGTCTATGTGAAGGAGGTCTATGTGAAGGAGGTCTATGTGAGGGGGGTCTATGTGAAGGAGGTCTATGTGAAGGAGGTCTATGTGAAGGAGGTCTATGTGTCTATGTGAGGAGGTCTATGTGAGGAGGTCTATGTGAGGAAGGAGGTCTATGTGAAGGAGGTCTATGTGAAGGAGGTCTATGTGAAGGAGGTCTATGTGAGGGAGGTCTATGTGAAGGAGGTCTATGTGAAGGAGGTCTATGTGAAGGAGGTCTATGTGAAGGAGGTCTATGTGAAGGAGGTCTATGTGAAGGAGGTCTATGTGAAGGAGGTCTATGTGAGGGGAGGTCTATGTGAAGGAGGTCTATGTGAAGGAGGTCTATGTGAGGAGGTCTATGTGAAGGAGGTCTATGTGAAGGAGGTCTATGTGAGGGGGGTCTATGTGAAGGAGGTCTATGTGAAGGAGGTCTATGTGAAGGAGGTCTATGTGAAGGAGGTCTATGTGAAGGAGGTCTATGTGAAGGAGGTCTATGTGAAGGAGGTCTATGTGAAGGAGGTCTATGTGAAGGAGGTCTATGTGAAGGAGGTCTATGTGAGGGGGGTCTATGTGAAGGAGGTCTATGTGAGGGAGGTCTATGTGAAGGAGGTCTATGTGAAGGAGGTCTATGTGAGGGAGGTCTATGTGAAGGAGGTCTATGTGAAGGAGGTCTATGTGAAGGAGGTCTATGTGAAGGAGGTCTATGTGAGGTCTATGTGAAGGAGGTCTATGTGAGGTCTATGTGAAGGAGGTCTATGTGAGGGAGGTCTATGTGAGGGGAGGTCTATGTGAAGGAGGTCTATGTGAAGGAGGTCTATGTGAAGGAGGTCTATGTGAAGGAGGTCTATGTGAAGGAGGTCTATGTGAAGGAGGTCTATGTGAAGGAGGTCTAGGAGGTCTATGTGAAGGAGGTCTATGTGAAAGGAGGTCTATGTGAAGGAGGTCTATGTGAAGGAGGTCTATGTGAAGGAGGTCTATGTGAAGGAGGTCTATGTGAGGAGGTCTATGTGAAGGAGGTCCTCCTCACCTGTGTTCACTAGATGATGGCTTATGAACTCGTTCATATTTTGGTTGAAGATGAACTGAACTCTGTTCCTGATGAACTGTGAGCTCATTTATTCTGGAGTCTGTGCTTCTGTTTAACTTTGTTCAAAAAGGTTCCAGATTTCTTTCATGTTCCAGGTAAAACTCAGTTAAACACATCGTAAAGAACCAACGATATTTAGCAGAAAAACATTTAATCTGGCAACAACACAAACCCCAGCGTCACATCACCACACGTGTCACTGAAACAAGACAAAACAAAAAAGCAGCAACAAAGATTCATCATGTGAACATTTAAAAGAGTCAAGGAGCCGAGGAAAGAAGAACTTCACACTTATGTGTGAACTTTACCCAACGCCTTTCAGATTTCATATTGAAAAATAATCACTCACAGCAACTTATAAAAAAAAAACAAATCTATGAACTAGTTCATTTTTTGGAGATATGAACGAACGAGTTCATTTTGAAATTTGTGAACTGAACTTTGTAGCTGTTGTAGCTCAGATAAATCGTCAGATAAATCGTCAGATAAATCGTCAGATAAATCGTCAGATAAATCATGTTTTCTGGTCAGATTGTGTTCAAATAAAGTTCAGATCAGGTTGATGTGAGTAACGGAGCTTGTGACAGAACAGTGCGTCCAGTTAGCGTCACACACCCAGAGAATATTGATGAGCTCCGCCGCAGGGATCAGTTCGATATTTCGTCCTATAGAATGTTGCAGTGTCATCTGAAAGCAGCTTGTGCCTTTGTTTAGTGAAAACCTGATTCAGAAGAAGAAGAGAAGAAGAGAAGAAGGAGTGAAGCCAACTCTTCTCCCTGATCTGGAATAATTAAATTATAGACGAGGACGACATTTACAAAAGATAATATCTTGATCTAGACGAGAGCGGATCAGTCACTAAAACTGGGAACGCCGCTTTGAAAATAAAAAAGAAACTGATTAAAAACAAAAATGGAAAAAAATGAGTCTTAAATTTCCAAATAAAAGTATAAAGTCATAACTCAGAACTTTTGTGGGTTATTTCCATTTCATTTCAATTTGTTTTTGAAATATTTTTATTATCCCAATGACAATAAGAAGACAATATTACAGCAATCCAGCAGAAATAGGCTCAAATATGCCGTAAACGTAACTCGGAAAAAAAGTGAAATGACCCAAAAA